TTCATCCACCCCAAGCCAAGGTCCTATTCTTTGAGCTTTCATCTTGTTCCCCCAAATGACTAAAGAACCCATTTTCATTGTTCTTAGCATTCATTACCAATCTTGGTTCATCTTGGGTCTTAGCGCACTTCATATTTTTCACAGAATCATGCTACTGTTCTGTACATGTCCTTAGTTTCCTGTTCTTACATTCATTTTCAAATATGTCTTTTAAAAATCTGAGTTTTAAAGTCAATTCTGGTCAGTAAGAGGAAATAGATGAGGAATTTGGGAAACAGATCACAGACCTGGCATGGAGACATGATATTTGTACTAGTTAACAGGAGTTTTCAATTATCCAGACATCTGTTGGTGCTCTCTCTGCCAAAAACAGAGCAGGTAATAACTTCTTGACTTGCTTTAATGCTAATTTCATACTCCAAAGAGTAGAGGAACCAACAAAGGGAAATTCAATTCTGGATCTTATTCTCACTAACAGGGAGGAGCTTGTTGCTGGGGTGGAAATGTAGGAAACCCTAAGGGTAAGTGACTACTCCTTCTTAGAGGTTGTGATAGAAGAAGAGAGGATATCTAGGCCTAGTCTGAGACGTACACTAGACTTTGGGAAAGCAGATTTCAAAGTATTCAGAGAAAAGAATGAACTACATTTGTACAATTCTACAGGGGATGCCATCCCAGCAGATGAAGGAAATGCTGAAGAATGAAATTTGAAAGACACAAAGGGAAACAATTCCAATGAGGAGGAAAAATGGGATTTGACTGGAGAGATCTATGTGGAAGGAAAGGGAACTCAACAAACTATCTTAGATTCTAGAAGAAAATGTAAAGAAGACGGGGTCAAGGCCAGAACATGATATGGTCCTATAAAAATAAAGTCAGGAGTGCTAAATCATAGAATGAGCTGGGGCTGGGGAGGGGACAGCAAAAAAGGTTGTTTTTTTTTTTTTAAAGCTGTATTAAGAGATAAAGGAGATAAGAGAAGGAATAGAATACTTGCTGGAGATAGAAAGGATGGTGACAAATGAGAATAGAGATAAAGCAGAACTGCACAATTTTTCTCTTTTTTTTTCTGTTAAGAAGAATAATTCCAGGGTAAAGATCACTTCAGGTCAATGACTTTTGCCCTGAAAATAATGGTGCAAAAATGACTAGTGGGGAGTTGAAACCCAAGATAAATAATGAGATAACAAGAGAGTACCTAGTTGCCCTTGATGAACACAGGTCTGTTGGCCCAGGTGACCTTCATCTTCTATACTGAAAGAATTGACAGATGTGACTGATGAGCCCTGAAAATGATTTGAAGATCATGGAAAATAAGAGAGGTATGAAAAGATTGGAGAACAGCAAATATTACATTAATTTTCAACAAAGGGAAGACAATAGAAGCCATAAACCACAGGCCAGTGAACTTGATGTTAATTCCTGGGAAAATACTAAAAGGAATCATTAAAGAGGTAACTGGTAAACATCTAGAAATGGACGCAGTGATTATAAGGACCCAGTCTGGCTTCCTTAGGAATAATGTTGTTGTTCAGTTGTTTCAGTCATGCCTGAGTCTCTGTGACCTCGTTTGGGGTTTTCTTGGCAAAGATACTGAAGTGGTTTGTCATTTCCTTCTCCAGCTCATTTTACTGAGGCAAAGAGGGTTAAGTGACTTGTCCAGGGTCACACAGCGAGTAAGTGTCTGAGGCCAGATTTGAATTCAGGTCTTTTTGACTCCAGGCCTGGTGCTCTATCCCAGTGCAACCTAGCTGCCCTCCTTAGGAACAGGTCATGCCAGAATGACATAATTTATTTTCTTTGACAAAATTATCAAACCAATAGATGAGAGGGAAACTGTGGATATAATTTATTTAGATTTTAGTAAATCAAAAGAGAGGCAACATGGTATGATGGATAGAGGCCTGGCCTGGGAGCCAAGAAGACCTTAGTTCAAGACTGATGTCTGACACTTGTTTACTGTGTAACCCTGGATAAGTCATTTAACTTCGCCATGTTCTAGACCAGAGGTGTCAAACATACTGACCATGCCAGCAGGAACTTGATAAAAATGTAATTGAGGAATATCTAACAAAGTAAATAAAAATACAATAAAACATCAATAATGTTAATTTGTGGTTTTCTAAGTCAATATGCTTCTTGCAGGAATCCTCGTGTGTGGTTTAGTGAATTCTATTTAAATTTGGTACCACTGTTCTAGATAACTCTTTAAGACTCTAAATTGAAGAAATTTGTGCTGACCTACATGGATATTGGTACTGGAAATCACAGGCCAGTCCTCATCTTTTTGAAAAAGCATCTCATGCTATATTTGTGGAGAAGGTGGAGAGACAGAGACTAGATGATGATATAATTAGATGAATTCAGAATTGGTTGGATGGTCAGCTTCAAAGAATGGTTGTATTTTAGTAGTTCAATGCCAATATGGCAGGAGGTCTCTGGTAGAGTTCCTCAGGTGTCTGTGCTGTAAAACATTTTTTTTTATCAATAATTTAAGTAAAAGCATAGATGGTATTAAGCTCATGAAATTTTTAGATGACACAAAGCTGGGAGAGCTAACTGCATTAACTGTATTAAGTGACACAGTCAGAATCCAAAAAAGATATTGATACTCTAGAGCATTGGGTTGAATCAAATAAGTGAGAATTCAATAAAGATAAATTTTAAATCTTATACTTGAATTAAAAAGTCAACCTCACAAGCATAGGTTAGGGGAAGCATGGTTAGTCAGCAGTCTGTCTGAAAAAGATTTTGGAGTTTTGTGGCCTGGAAGCTCAGTAAGAGTTAGTGATGTGAAGCAGTTGCCAAAAAAAAAAAAGCTAATGGGATTTTGGGGCTATATTAAGAGAATCTGGCTCCCAGAATTCCCCAGGGAGTTGGTAGTTTCCACTGTATTCTGCCCTGGGCAGAACTCTTCTGGAGGGTTAGGTTTGGGCCTGCATGCAAAACTAGAGAGCAGACAGAGAAGAGCAACCAGGACAGTGAAAGCATCTTGGGGACTTAGCATCACAAAATCATAGATTTAGAGTTGGCCCCTAAGATCCATAAGGTTCAATCCCCTCATTTTACAGATGAGAAAACTGAGTCCTAGCGAGCTTGAATTCATTTCATATAATTATTGGTTGTAGGAACTGGGAATATTTAATCTGGAGAAGAGAATATTGAGGATGAGGCGGGAGTGGGAGGAGGGTGGCCTTATAGCTATGTTACAGTATCTGAAGAGCCCTCCTATGGCAGGGGGATTGGACTTGTTCTGTTTGATCCCAGAAGGCAGAACCAGGAACAAGGAACAAACATTGCAAAGAAGCAAATTCAGGCTTGATATCAGGAGACATTTCCTCATAATTAGAGCTGTCAAATAGACTCCTTTGAGAGGCAGTGAGATTTGAGCTTTGGGATCTTTGAGTACAGTAATTATCTGAAGGATGATGAAAATGGAATGTTCCCTGATTTACTCAAGGTTGGCTATGAGGAAGGTATGCAAAACCTTACCAATGATGCTCTGGGTGTGGTGGGGCTGTCTGGGTTCAGATGGACACTTCATGGAGTTATTATTGGGGAAAAGAGGTCTTAGAGATGAAAGCTAAAAAAAAGTAACCACAATTGATACTTTTAAGACATGGAATAAAACTGTTGAGGGAGTTCTCTCTCCAAAATTGTCTGGAAAATTCCAGAAGGATACCCTTGCCCTCCTCGGTCAAGTGAGTGATCAAAGGCCCTATGGTGGCGCTCATGGTTTTTTGTCTTGGGATTCTATATGTGAAATACTAACTCAAATTCCACAGGGGAGGGCAATAAACTTTCATCATAGAAAGATCATAACAGGGTAACAAAGTCCTTGCTTATTAATATAGCTATGTATAAATGTATATATGTAAATATATATTCTGTAGCAAGCAATATTCATTTATATCTCTCAGAGATATAGGCTAGCACTTGTAGTTACAAAATTCCAAAAAGCAAAACTCTACCTGTATAGACATAAGAAAGGGTTATAGAGACCTCAAGTTCAGACTTACTTTAAAAAATATATTGACTGCAGCCAATTTTCTAAAAAGGCAAAAAAATCATTAAAAGTAGACATGAATAGTGAACTTAATCCATTGCAGTATGTAAAGAAATCATTATGTGTGAATAATCCACTTGTCCATGACAGCTCAGAAATACGGTATTACATGTAGTTTAAATAATGACTGAAATAAACTTTGGAATCCTTTGAGAAAGTCTTAGCTTTTAAATGATGGTGGATGATTTTCAAACACTTAGGTCATGAATTGAATCGTCACAGTCACAGTGCAATAGGCTCCGTAACACCTTTTAAAGAATGAAATTATCATTAAGGCAAATCCATAATTTGTCTGCTTTTGGCAGCAAATGTACTGATAATTGAAGTCTACCATCACTACATTGTAGGTTTGTGTTTTGTTTTGCTAAGTTTTGGTCTATTTCCTCATTCTTATTCTCTCCTGATTATCTCTAATATATTCTTTTTTTGGGGGGAGTGAGGCAATCGGGATTAAGTGACTTGCCCAGGGTCACACAGCTAGTAAGTATCAAATGTCTGAGACCGGATTTGAACTCAGGTCCTCTTGACTCCAAGGTTGGAGCTCTATCTACTGCGCCACCCAGCTGTGCCATCTTTAATACAGTCTTACAACTGTAATGAGGACTTTGCCATATATGTCCAGATTATCTAATATGGAGATATCCTACTTCTGGGAGAAGACATCCTGTGTTCTCCTATCATGTAAATGGTAATGGCCTCTACCATGGGCTATGTCACTGGAACAAGTCATGTCTTTAAAAGCTTTGAGACTGGGATCCTCACTTTATTTTTAGTTTGGTGTCCAGAGAGCATGAAGCTTAACCCTTACATGGCCATGAACTGAACTGGTGAAGGGGAAGGCCTTCCTACTTCCCCTACTCTCCTTTTAGGCTCCATGGCCCCAAGAAACATACCTGGAATATTCATCTTTTTCCATTTCTTTTGTCCTTCTTAGTTTCAGGTGCAGGAGATAGAATCCCCATTGGACCCAGGATTGAGCCATGGTGACCTTGGAGCCAAGATTCCAGGTGAGATGTTATAATTTGCCAGTCCTTCAGGGAAACTCAGAAAAGCTAGGGTGCCTGGGATTCAAACCTAAGGGAAGCTTTGGAATTAGAGCTAGGGACTATCCTATATAGGAACTGAGCTAAGCTGTGAACAGAATTCCTTTCTCCTCCCCAGAGTATTGAGGTAGCTGAGGGATGAGGAGTAGTGGGATTATGTTCAGCATGTCAGAAAGTATGTTTATGTATTTGTTATTATACCTTGGAAGTAAATATTCATTTGCAAAAGCAATGGGGGCAGCTAGGTGGCACAGTGGATAGAGTGCCAGGCCTGAAGTCAGGAAGACCTGAGTTCAAATCCAGCTTCAGACTCTTACCAGCTGGGCAACCCTGGGCAAGTCACTTTACCTTGTTTGCCTCAGTTTCCTCACCTGTAAAATGAGCTGGAGAAGGAAATCTTTGCCAAGAAAACCCCAAAAGGGTCACAAAGAGTCAGACATGACTGAAATGACTGGAACGACTGAACAAATAACAAAATCTAATTCAACTTTTAGTGGTTAAATGGAACTGGGGTTCAGGGAATCCACCCCTAAAATTGGGGAAACACTTTCAATGGGGGGCTAAAGTTAATGGCAGAGCCTAGACACCCCAAATCCTCTAAGGGTACTGGAGAACCATGGGGAGAGGTGGAATGTAATATACTTGGTTGGGGTAGTCAGTGTTACACAAACATATAATTTCTATTTCCTTTCATCGTTCCTTATTTGAATGCTGTCATGTATCTCTTCTCTAGTTGCAGAATTTTTTCCAGTAAGTATATCTTAAGATGAGTGCAACCCAACCACCTCTTTTACTTATTCTGCTCCTTTTGAATAAGAAATGCCTCTTCATAATCATATTCCAGTTGTGAGTTCCATGTCACCAGCATTACCTATGATGTTAAATTTTCCTTCTTGCATTAGGATCTCAAATTCACCTGATTTATCTATCACCCAGATTAAGCATATGTGCTTAGCTATCTGAAGTTGTAGGCATAATTGTTGTCTTTCTTCTTGGGTATTGTCTCTCATGAGTTACTAGCCTTCTGCTATTCCTCTTGTGTTGTGCCTTTGACTTTCTATTGTAACAGCTTGACATCCTCATTTGAAGTTTTCTTCCTCTTGCTTTTTAGTTTCAAGATTTCTTAATTCAAATTTCCCAAACTCTAGCAAACATGTTTCCATGAGCCCTTGTAAGGTGTACTCCATGCTTGGCCAAATGTCCATCATTTCTATAAATTAAACCAAAGTCCAGAAGATGCTGGGTCCAATTCTGGGTGCCGCAGTTTAAGGAGGACATTGCTAAACTGGAGTGTCCTGAAGAAAGCAACCAGGATAGCAAAGGGCCTTTTGTCACGTAAAGATTGGGGAATTAGAATCCTTAGCCAGAAGAAGTGAAGACTTTGGTTGGGGAGGGGGGGGGAGTCATGATAGCTGTGTTCAAGTGTTTGAAGGGCTGTCATGTGGAGGAAGGAATAGAGTTGTTCTGTTGGGTCCTAGAGGCCACAACTAGGAGCTGGAGGTGGAATTTGCAAAGAGGCTGCTTTAGGGTGTGATGTCAGGAAGTGCTTCCTTACAAAAAGAGCACTCTGAAAGTGGAATGGTCTCTTTTGAGTGGTGGTTCCTCTGCACTGGAGGTCTTTCTAAGCAGATGCTTGACAGCTACTTGAGTATGGGAAAGTAGGAAATCCTTTTTGTTTATAGGTTATATTAAATGGCCACTGAGGTCTCTTCCAACTCTTGAATTATAGGATTCTGTAACTTGTAGGTGCATATCATCATTTCTCAGAACATATAAAGCTTCTTCTTCCTGAAAGGGAGCAGCTTCCTTTCTATAGAAAGAGAACCAAACCTATTATTTAACTCCAAAAGTTCAATGATCCTTTTTCTCTGCTTCCTTTGTTTTATATTCTTCCACCTCTCCCACACCCCCAGTCTCCTGAAACAGGGTAAGATTTTCTCTCTGCTTCTTCACATCCTTTCTCTTTGTTGTTTCCTCCTTGAAGTGTTTATTACATTCTTTCATGGAACATTTTATTCTTCTTGATTTTCTAGAGAGTAAAGGCACATTTCTCTAAGTCTTTCTTTTTAAAAAAATCCTTTAGCAATGTCTATTTTTTATTATTCCGAACCAATAAACATGAACAGTTACAGAAAAGGTAGAAGAAAATTGCGTGTGAAATTGCAAATGTCTATTATATATCTCTTATTTTTAAAATTGTGTATAATAACTCAGTATATTAATTTCAAAGCCATCTTTCTTGTCTGTGTCTCCCTCTGAACTTCCTTCTGTTCACTTCTGTACTGTTTTTCTTTTCTCATTTTTTGGGACATCACTATCACCAGCTATGCTTTCTTTTCCGAATAAAAACAAATTCTCATGACAGATAAGCATAATTAAGCAAAAATCTACACATGGGCCATGACCAAAATATCTTTCTTATCCTGTGCCTCTAGTCTCTCACCTTTCTAACAAGAGGTGGGAAGCATGCTTTAGTATTGATGCTCTGATGTCATGGTTGGTTATGGCATTGATTGGAGTTCTTAAGTCTTTCCCAGTTAGTTTTCTTTACTTTGCTGTAGTAATTGTATAACTTGTTGTGCTACTTATGTCATTCTGTCTGAATTGATACATCTTTCTAGGTTTTTTTGAATCCACCTCTTTTGTCATTTCTTACAGTGCAATAATATTATGTAATGGGGCTTTGGCACATGCCCAGACTCTCTAAGAGGGAGGTACCCTCATGAGTGATGCCAGGGATCTACTTCTGAGAGAAGACATTGTGTGGCAGCCTACCCCATGGGTGAGAGTAGCCTCTTGGCATTGGCTGGGTAGCTGGAATTGCCCTTGTCTTTAAGTCCACCCCATAGTGGCACAATATCTCCCTCTTTCCAATGGTATCCAGGGGTAAATGTCTCATTCATCCACATTGTGGCCACCATATGCTAAACTGGAAGGGAGAAGGGCCACCTTTGCTTTCTCCTTAGGCCCCATGGCCCCGAGAAACAAGCTGGGGTTTCCATATGTTTGGTTTATACTCTTCAGTTCTAGGTATAGGGAGTCAGTTTCATTAATAGGATTTTTCAAATTTTGCATCTGTTGATTTATCAAGTTTTAAAAAATGGATACTTCTGTATTACTGAATCCTATGTTTATAATTTATATAATAAATTATTCATTTGTTTTATATTATATAATTGTATAAATACATTATATATAATTATACAAACATGAAAAATAATAATTTATATTAAGTTTAATGTGATAGATACAGTGTTTACATCACTAGAATGCTGCCTATTTGTTGTTTTTGCATTTAAACAGATCTAGATTGCTTGCCTTATTGTGCCCTACAATTTATTAGGGTAAGGAAGCATGTGCTAAAATCCAAAATTTTCTTTGCTACTTATCTTCATTGAGCCTTACTTATGTTCTTGTCATTTTGGGTAGGTTTGCAATTCTGACATGGAATCCTGGTTCCAAAGCCGCCATGAATAGAACCCCTTAAATCTAAGGCTCTGCTCCCTGCATCTAGAGCTGAAGGTCCATTTCTTAGGGCCAGAGGGCCTAAAGGGGGGTAAAGGACTGGACAAATTAATCTGAGAGCATCAGCATCAGTATCACCAGAGAGATGCTAATTGAATTCATAGGAGCTGATGAGATCAGCAAATGAAATAGAATAGAGGGAGAAGAAAAGAGGGCCCAGGACAGAAGCTTTTGAGAAGGAAAACCAGGAGAGAGCAGTGTCATGAAAATCTAGAGAATATCGAAGAGAAGAGGGTGATTGATAGTTCCAAAGGCTGCAGAGAGGTAAAGAAAGATGAGGCCTTAGAAAAGACCATTAGATTTGCTGTTGAGACATTATTGGTAACTTTGGAGTGAACCGTTTCAGTTGAATGAAAAGGTTAGAAGTTAGACCTCGGAAAGTAAAGAAGGAAGGAAAGTAGAGGTGATAAGCGTTGACAAGCCTCTCAAGGAATTTAGCCACAAAAGGGAAAACAGATATAGTATAATAGATAGTGGGGATAGATGGATCAAGTGAGGGGTTCTGAGGAATTGAGAAGAAGAAGGGAAAAGTAGGGAAGCAGCCAGTAAACAGGAGAGATTGAAGATAAAAGAGAGTGTAGTGTTGCTACAGGAGGCAATCTGCTGAGGAAGATGGGATGGAATGACATCCCTTGTGCATGAAGAGGGGCTTACTTTGGCAAGGAGAAAGACTATGTCTTCTTAAGAGATAGGAGTGGAAAAGGAGAAAGCAGCAGGATGCATCTTAATGAAGTGAGATGAGGAGAGAAGAGGTGGCTCTCGATAATTGGTTTCAATTTTTTAATTAATTAATTTTGATTTGTCAACAATCACTTCCATATGCTTTTGAGTTTAAAATTTTTCTCCCCCTTCCTTCCTACCACCCTCCCCAAGACGGTGTGCAATCTGATATAGGCTATACATTTACATTCCTATTAAACATATTTTCACATTAGTGATGTTGTAAGTAAGAATTAGAACCAATAGGAGGAACCACCAGAAAGAGGAAACAAAACTCAACAGAAGAAAAAAAATAGCAAATAGTATGCTTCGATCTGTATTCATACTCTATAGTTCTTTCTTTGGATATGGATAGCATTTTCCATCATGAGGCCTTTGGAGATGTCTTAGATCCTTATATTGCCGGGAAGGGTTAAGTTTGTCAATATTAGTCATTGCACAATGTGGCTGTTATTGTGTACAACACTCTCCTGGTTCTGCTCACTTCATTCAGCATCAGACCATATAAGTCTTTCCAGGTTTTTCTGAAGTCCACCTGCTCATCATTTCTTATGGCACAATAGCATTCCATTACATTCATATACCACAACTTGTTCATCCATTCCCCAATTGATGGGCATCACCTCAATTTCCAATTCTTTGCCACCACAAAAAGAGCTGCTATAAATATTTTTGTTCTTTTGGGTCCTTTTCCCATTTGTATGATCTCTTTGGGATAC